TCCAAATGAGGAGCTAAACTCTTCCATCTTGGTTTTGCTACTTTGAAGCTTAATGATTTGTAAGTTGTGAGTTATTTTCTTTAATCTTCTTCCTTGAATATTAATTACTTCCTATTCTTATTCCATATTAATATATTGAGCATTACTTAAAGTATCAACTAGTCTTGTTCTATATATTAACTATTACTAGAATCGGTCGGTTAATACGCTTGTTATTAATTCGGTCCTTTCACGGTAGTAAACTTGGGTTGTTAATACATGCTTCTCATGGTTAATAAGCCAAGGGGAATTAATTATACTGATTCAACCAATAAACCGCTTGTGTTGAGGTTATCAATCTCAATCGTTTTCATCTTGATTTTATTGCTACTATCAAGTTAATATACGGCGCTTGTTCTATATTGACTCGGTAGTAAGTTTTATTAATGAACGCTTCTCGTTATTAATAACTACCCTCGATGAACTGGATATACTCCTCGATTGAGTATTCGAGAGGAAGATAGTTAAAGATATAACCGGGATCGATGAACATTTCATTAAGTGGATAAAAGTAAAACCAAGTCTTCTTCTCATTAATTAAACCACATAACTCGTTCATCTTTGTGTTTTAATATTCTAAAAAGTTCTTCAACAACAAATCTAAAAACCCCCCTTATTACTAGTTAGAAAAAGAAAAGTATTCCTTTCCCTGCGGATACGAACCTTACTACGATATACTACGTATAAGTGTTGTATTGTATTTATTATTTTGAGTGCAGACCACGACAAGTGCACGTCATGGTTAAATCAAGTCCGCAAACCATGGAACACCTGGAGATCAAATCAAAATAATAAAAGGGAAGCCGTTGGAAGCAAAATAAGGAACACATGAGGAGGAAGCAATCATCAATGCCTCATCGAACTAATGAAGACAAATAGTCAAATACAATGAAGCTAGAAGAAAAACAACTAACTAGAAAGGTTTATCACCAGTCACTCACCTTTGAGCAGTAGGTGATAACATATACTCCCTCCGTCCCCCTATGTTTGTCCCACTTTACCATTTTGGGGTGTCCCAATTTGTTTGTCCCATACTATTTTTGGAAAGGGAAAAGTGTCAAATAGGCCCCCCTACTCCAAAGAAAATGTCAATTAAGCCTATGAACACAAACATCACCCAATTAAACCCTTGAACCGTAAAAAAATGAGCAAATCGTAACTTTACCCGTTTAATGACCTGCTTGTTCCTTATGTGATTACCTGGAATCCGACGTGGCTATTATTATTATCCATGTAAGCTTTGATTACTTGGACACACATATATATATTAACTATTTTTTAACCCTAGGGTTTCCAATCGTACTGGAGAAGGAAGCTTAACAGAAGGAAGCTTAGCAGAATACAAAAGTGAAGACCGCACATGCTCAACGGCCCTACGCTCATACGCACGGTGTTGTCTTCTTCCTCTTAAAGGTTAGTCAGCTCGTACGACTCCTACAACGATTAATCTTGCTCAGTAACAAATGTTTTGTAAAAGGTGTTTTTGGTTTCTACGTTTTACACTTTACAACAATACATTGCACTGCCAACAAAAAATAACAATTTCATTGATGAACAGGATGTTTGACAAAGTCGAACTTGTAATTCATCATGGTGGTGATTTCTTTTACAACCCTGACTATGTGTACAAGGGTGGTGCAGTAGATACTATTTCAATTGATCCAGATTTAATTTCATACCCACATCTGTTGAAGTTTCTGAAATCTGGGAGCTATGGGAATATCCACGGGATTTATTTTAAGAAAATTGAGGACTCTATGCAAAATCTACACCAGCTTTTCAATGATGAATCCACCTTGAACTTAATTGATATGGCTACTTGTTATGGAAAATGTGAGATATTTGTTGAGCACGGGTTAGATGAAGTTGAGTTAGTCGAGATTGCCTCATTACCTGAACTAGTTGGTGAAGAGCCACAAACTGAGAGGGAAGAGAATGACAGAGAAGATGGTATGGATGCTGAAGACAGTGTGCTAGGTGGTGAAGAATCTGATAATGAAGAAGAAGGGGACGATGAAGACACTTACAAGAAAAAAACTGTTCAAAAGCAAAGACAGCAGTATAGTGGCACTGATTCAGATCATACTAGCATTGAATATGATTCCGATGATCCATCCAGCTTACTATCTGATCATGACTCAGGAGATGGAGTTGTGAAACATAGAAGACAGAACTCCATGTATGCGTCTTATAACCCGGAATCAGACCCTCCTAAGATTGAGTTGTGTATGCTATTTGAAAATGGAAGGCAATTCAAGAGTGCCATGATAAAATATGCTATTCATGAGAAAAAAGATATAAGGTTTGTCAAGAATGAGCCTGAAAGAGTGCGTTTGAAGTGTGCCCCAAATTGTCCATTCAGGTGTACTGCTAGTTGGGAGAAGATGCTAAGATGTTATCAAATCAAGGTTTTGAATGAGACTCACATTTGTAATACAAAGTTCAAGTTGAGACTTGTTAGCCAGAAATGGGTTGAGGAGACTTATGAAGATAAAGTGCTCGAAAATCCTTGTTTGGGTGCTGCAGAATTAAAAGATCTTATAAAAGCACAACATAAGATCAATGTTTCACTTAGTATGGTAGCTAGAGCACTAAGAGGAATACAAGAAAAAACTAAGAATGCTTTCAAGGATCAGTTTAGGAGAATCAGGAATTACGCAGAGGAATGTTTGAAGTCAATTCCCGAGAGTACGGTTGTGATTAAAACTGAAAGAGTTGTTCCAGATGGCCCTTGTATTTTCCAGAGGGTTTACTTCTGTTTTGGAGCTGTGAAAAAGGGTTTTTTAGAAGGGTGCAGAAAGATGATTGCGGTCGATGGGTGCTTCTTGAAAGGTCAATTGAAGGGAGAAATCTTGACAGCGGTTGGGAGGGATGCCAACAATCAAATGTACCCTTGGGCTGTCGTTGAAATTGAAAATAACTCATCGTGGACTTGGTTCCTGCAGCTTTTAAAGGATGACTTGAAGATTGATAGGACTGACTTGTGGACCATTATAAGTGACCAACAGAAGGTTAGCAACATATATAATTCTGAAGTAATGTCTCATTTATGTTATGATCTCATTAATTTGTATTGTCGTGTATCATGATTATTTGGTATTTATTTGCAGGGCCTTTCAAATGTCATAGATCAAGTACTTACTGGCATTGAGCACAGAAACTGTGCTAGGCATATACATGCTAATTGGAGCAAAAATCACAGAGGCCTGATTCTTAAAAGACTATTCTGGAATATAGCAAAATCGACATCCCAAGAAGAACTCCAACGAAATATACAAGATCTGGAAAAAATCCAGAGGAATATGTGGACAATTACTACTCTAAAGAAGTGTACGAGAAGACATATCAACATACTCTACAACCTATCAACGGGGAACTATTCTGGCCCACATCACAAAATGAAGAAATCCATGCTCCTCTACCCAAGAAAATGAGTGGTAGGCCAAAAAAGAAAAGAGTGCGTGAGGAGAGTGAGGCACCTTCAGGAACACAAATGTCCAGAAAAGGTAGAATCATGACGTGTTCAAACTGTAAGAAGCCTGGACATAACCGCCTATTTTGTCCAGCTAACCGTACAGCTGGTATGACCCCCACTACTCAAAGAGGAAGAGGAAGGGGGAGGGGAAGGGGTACTTCTAATAGTGGACATACTGGGAGTGTAAATGAAAGGGGTAGGGGTAGGGGGAGAAGTAGGGGCAAAGTAAAGAGGCCAGCTGTAGTGCGTGAATCTGGATTTGGTATTTACACTGATCCAGAAAGTGGAGCCACCGTATTGAATGTAAGCATTTATATTTACTTAGTCATTCAGTCAAAGTATTTGAGCTTTGTAAAACTAATTGAATGTTTTTTTGTGTAGCCTATGCAGCGTGGAGAAGCGGTGATTTGGGAAGGAACAGGTTGACGGTTTCAAAGGTTGAATATGAAGCAGCTTTTTGGGACGCCATTGATGCTGAATGTGGGCATACTTTTTGTGAAATTCAAAGACCATGTGGCCCTATTTTGTGATGGTCATGTTTTTGTCAGATGTTTAAGAATGAATTCCAAACAATGTTATGTTTTAGGGAATATGTTTTGTGATGTAAAATACAATATGTTATGCCCATGTTTTTGTCAGGTGTTTACGGATGAATTCCAAACTATGTTATGTTTTTGGGGATATATTTAGTAATGTAAAACGCAGCATGTTATGGCCATGTTTTAATGAATCAAAAGAATGATATTGCTAAATCTTGTTTAATATTTGACTGTCAATGAGGAGTAAGGAGATACAGAATAAAGCTTGGTTGGTGTATGATAATTTTTTGAACTAGATTTTTAAATATACAGATTAGTTGTTCCCTGGGCCATGTTTCAATGTTAAAAGGTTGAAAACTTTTATGGCCAAAAGTTTTAATGAAAGGGGGACACCATAGGGAGCCTGGGAATGGACAGATTTTAATTAAGTAAAAAATAGCATTTAGTAGGCTTTTGGTGACTTCCTTTGTGTTGTTTATATTGGTTATATGGCAATCAATCACCTGTGACATACCTGGTTTACTTTTGGGTGCCGTTTTAAGTTAGACTCCCTCTTTGGCAGAACTATTTTTTTCTTTCAATTTGGACTTTACACGAATTATTTAAGTTACTAATTGTTGCAGCTCCTTAGAAAAGAAAATTCTCACTATCAATTAAAAAATCCTCAAATTCCTTCATGTAAAACCCCTGCAGATGGCTTTTTCTAAAACATGGGTGTTAAAAGACATGTAATGGCTAACCAGTCCTTTTTCTAAAACATGGATGTTAAAAGACCTGTAATGGCTAAGAACTTTCATGCTTCTGTATCACTAAGTTTTCTGGAAAACCAACCAAGGACTTCCATGCTTCTGTTAGTTCTGTATAACCAAGAACTTTCAATTTACTTGATAAAACAGAAGAGAGTAACGCTACAACATAAATACTTGAAATATGGACCAAGGATAATATATGTTTCCGCTATGAAAGAATATTAAGCATATCATAGTTGCTACAGCTTCAACATTAAGAACTTTCATGTCTTACATAAATATGGTTACAATAACAGTATTGGGCACTTCCCATAGCATAAAAAACAACACACCTAACGCATACAAGAGTTTTTTAAAGTAAAATAAACCATAGCAACAACTACTATGTTCACAAAACAACAACAACCAAAAATTAACCTAAATCTTTTGTTCTTTCCCCCCTCTGTTTGGACTACTCCCGTAAGATAACCAATATCTCTTCTAAGAAGATGAATTCCTTGATCGAATGAACTGTTCGCCCTCTGCAACTCAACGAAACCACCACCATATGTTCCCTCATCTCTTGTATTGCAGTGGGGTACATGGCCATCACCCCCATATGTAGCATCCATAGCATCCTTCCACCCACAGAAGCCACATCCACGATTATGCTACAAAATTACCAGTACGAGAAAACTGAGAAATGCAATGAAATCAATCATAATAATTAAGCACAAATTTGTTAGCATTACCTTCCATTGTTGACAGCCGTAGAACATTCTTTCACTTTCTCGTCCTTTGCAAAGAGGGGCTTTCATCCCACATAAACAGTAGACAGCGGGCTCATAATTCAGAGTACATAGGCTGTTTTTTCGTAGGCTTGATGTAGACGAAGAAGACATTGTCGCTGCTCCAAGAAGAAAGCTACTTCCGTTCGCAACCAAGCTTCACTTCATCGCTACTGTGGCTCGTTCCAGGAGATAAGCAGTTCAGGGACATTTATAATAGGGTTAAATTTGTTCAGGGACAACCACCTATATTTAATATACCCACGTAAGATGCCACGCAGATATTTTAACCGGCAACTGACTAGTAACCGGGTAAAGTTACGATTTGCTCATTTTTTTACGGTTCAAGGGTTTAATTGGGTGATGTTTGTGTTCATAGGCTTAATTGACATTTTCTTTGGAGTAGGGGGGCTTATTTGACACTTTTCTCTTTTGGAAAGTATAAAGTGAATATTATCACAAAAATACCCCTATTTTAAATTTGAAACTACTCTTTTACTCTCCTTCTCCTTATCTTTCCTTACAAACCCATCTCACACTCTTCCATCAAGACCTGCGACTTACCCCCATCGACTCTCTTTCCCATCTGCGTATACCTTCCCCAAACCAATGTCTTCACTCTTCATAAAGTCCGCAGGTAATCGTTCCAAACCCAACGTAATCGTTCCAACCTCTTCACTTTTGATAAAACAGCGTAACCCGTCTGCATAACCTTCGCAAAAAATGAGTTCGGATCCCTCTAAAGCGTTTCATGGCTTGGAAGGCCTAATCGTTGAAGACAGTGAAGAGGAGATTGTTGAAGATAGTGAAGAGCATATTGTTGAAGATATTGAAGATCTGGTTGATTTCGTGGCTGAGACGGAAGACCTGAAGTGAATTCGTATGCTGATTCTTCATCGGATGTTGCTGCCAACGTTCAAGCTCTAGAAGCTATGCCTGTCTTTGTTCATCCCATCTGGAACCGTGAAACGGATGAATCCAGGCAATAAAAACATGTCCCAGAGAACATGTCATAATAGTAATGAAAATTAAAAAGAAACAATCTTACTCAATTTCAAGTACAATTTAGTTTCTCTCTTGCATTTAAAGAAACATGCTCAATCCCAAATAGCTCAATTAGGATACATGACATTATCTAAGTGAGTTCAAACTAACCAGGCTACTAGCAAGTAGCAACGTTAAAAGAAATGGCAAGACCCATAAGAAGATTTTCACAGATTGCATTTAAACACATACCGCTATCATTATCCAATTGTTTGAACCCTGCAAGTTAGCCTATATGTTGCTTTAATAAGGAAAGGAAAATGAAGGAAAAATATACAGTTTGGACTTTGGAGAAAGAAGGAAAAAGCTAATATGAGAGAGATTCTTATAAGTGCACCAAACTACATAAACTAGATGTCTGGGTGAAGGAATTCAACTGGTAGCAAATTATTATTGTTGTTTATGCTATGGCTACCCTCAAGAATGCCAAAGGGTTTGGTTTATGTACACTCCATATTAAACTTTCACACACATTCATATTAAACATTCATACACATTCACAGACATTCATATTAAACATTCATACACATTCATATTGGCTTCTTGCAACAGAGTAGACATATTGTACACACAAAAAGTTCAGCAAAATATAATAAGAAAAAATTAGATGTTTAGGCTTAAACATCTTCAAAAAGTCAAAAAAATTAGGATGTTTATGCTCAAACATAATCTGGTTTTACCCTTGTAGTTTGCCTATACCTACCCTTCTTACCCTACTTATAAGTTCATGTACTTCACTGCCTATTGGTTATCCGTGATAACCATAGCTAGATTGAGGTACTTTGTAACTTCCTCAATCATTTGGTGAGTAACTGAAGTTTGTTGTACCAACTCGCCTTGCTTCTTTTGCTTTGACTTCCCAATGTGAGGCAGGCTATACTTGTTACATCCTCTATACTTCATTATTTCAATCATGCAATACTGAAAAGTGATCCAAACGTCATTCAACTTATCTGGTTCTAGCTTTTCAAATGCATTGTTCACAGCTTGAATGAGGTCATCCACTGTTTTCTGTTTGAATTCTTGTTGTAGAGATTAAATGGATCTAAAAAATCCCAAATCTAAAATGTTTAGATCTAGGCTGTTAGGGGGTTGGTATATGGGATGAATGTCCCACCCGTCTCTTTTGGCAGCCTCCACAAATTCTGGGTCGGAGGGGTTAATGTGGGGTCTAGCATTATCTTGTTGAATGAAAATTGTCTTACTTGCACTTTGGGGCCACTTTTCCTTGATAGCGGGTAGTACCTTGTTTAGAAGACTTTCTTTTGTGACTTGTTTTGTGATGGAATTGACTCCTTTTGTCTTCAATGTTCCCTTTGCCCTATTTTTGCTTCTTCTTTTTGCGGGTTCACTTGTTGTGAATGGGAAGACTCCTATCTTACCATCAAATAGTACTTCACCATTTGGACCAAATATTGGCCTTGCAACTGCAGCCATGAACATAATCTTAGTTATGAAACTCTTAGATTTACATGTTCTGTGTGGATGTAGCTGCATCTGCCTACTTGCATGTGCCCATATTCTGTTGATTGTTTTTCTCTTTACATTAAATGCAGCAGTTGTCTCACTTATGGACCCTTTTTGCAATGTACCCCCCAGTTGATGCCTTCTTTCTCGGAGAAGATCTACAATGGTCTGCCTCTGACAAATTTGTCTTCCTGCGGACTGTAACTAGTGTAGTGGTAGTGGTATCCATTTTGCTTTTAATGTGTAAGATGCAAACCTTTAGTGAGGTTGTTGTAAGACTTTATTTAATGTTTGAGAGATTCTATTTAAAGGACTGCAATTGTTGTACTATTTTTAACTTTTGGCGGTATTTAAAAATTTCAACTGTTAGAAATTGAAGTTTCAATTCAATATTTTCAGTTCTGGCGGTAAAGTTGGCGGGTGAATGAGGTTTAGTACGAGTAATTAGTTTCAGCTTGTCATGTTGTCAAATGGTTCTAGAATGGTGGTGTCAAAGATTTTTTATATTCTTGAAAAAGTTTCCAAGATAGTGGGGCAGGATTGCAGGATCTCCGTATATATCCATTGCTTTATCAAAAAGTAACTTTGAATAGTGTTGATGGCAGACCCACTCTTTATCTTTATGCTCCGTCTTAATATGCGTGTCACTCCTATCCGTCCCAAACATAGGGGGACTAAGGGAGTACAAAAGATCATTTGAAGGACCTTTTTGAAGTGCATAAACAATTAAGAGGCACATGCAATCGTTGTTGAAGTTCACTGTGTGGTACTTTTGACACATTCAGAAGCTTACACCAGTTACACATTCAGGGGCGTAACACAGTGCTAGAGAGAGAAACACTAGAACTACAATCTCTATTGTTCACTTTTTCACTTGACCTATTTGATGAGAGATGAAAAGAGACCGACAGAGTAGTGCTTATAATCTTCTAATTCCATCTGGGATTTACTGAAAGATAACATGTTGAGTAACTTTACGTGAACATACAATATAAAAAAGTGAGCAGTTGAAAGCTGCTCCTAGGTTGAGAGTGTTCCTTTGGCCTGAGTACACTTGATTGGGACATGAACTTTATTATTGATTTGGGAAAAGTTATTTCTTTGGGCTGAATTCATTTTTGGGGGCTTTAACTTTGTTGTCGGACTGAGTTTGATTGTGGATTCATAAACAGGATTTTACAAGTTCAACAAATGTTCGATGTTGACTAGGGTGTTGAGTATGATCGTTGACCGTGTACTGACTAAGTTGAGACCACATCATAATCATGTAAATAATTTTTGGACATGATCTGAGGTGAGGACCCATATATAACCCATATACTCTTACATTTGGTAGATTTTGCATGAGATTATTTAGTGAGTATCATGTCAGTCCTAGTGTTTGGTTTGGTGATGTCAGCGTATGCAAATGTGATGTAAATCCTGGATGTGCGTGTCTGGGATTCCAATGAAGCAGCTACGTGTGGAATTTGGGTCGAGCCATTGAGCTAAGGAGGATCAGAGGAACTGAGAGTAGAGATGATCTCGTTTGGCCTCACCAATGTAGCTCGGCCCAATGTAGAATTAGCTCATTGATGGAATGCTGAGTCCCGATTATGGATATTGGCCTCGATGGAGGGCCTTGACTCAGTTGTAAGGGCTTGGGCTACCAATTTGGGCCGTCTTCTTAATTTGCCCTCTGGGGTATGTGGCAAAATAGTCCATCACATAAGTTTATAGATGATGTAGTTTGTAAGATTTCTTCACTACTATAAATGCTCTTTTGGGATTAGGGTTACATTAATCCCACAAAATCGTTTATATAATGAAAAGACATTACTTTGTTTCTCCAAAATTTATTCTTACTTCTATTTATGTATAATAACCCATCACCACCTTGTTACATGTATCATTATATCCTACCATGTGTAAGATTTTGCACGAGAAATTGTGCCCATGACTATTCATAAGTGTTCCTTTATTAATCATGTAATATACTTGATAAACTTGTTAATATTGAGGACTTTTACATGGAGTGTGCTATTGTGGTTGAAAATTTCATACACGCGGAAACTTTTCTAATGAGATTTTGTTCGTAGTAGTACATTTCGGTGAAAAAATCTGCACTCCAGTAATTAATAAAACTAGTAATCACATGTCATGGTATGCGAGTACGTAAAACTCCAAGGGCACATTATAAATCACGAGACAGAAACACCAATCTTCTCTTAAACTATCAATACAAGTCCCCCATCCCATACAATTTGGTCATGTAGTCTTCAGTAGTGCGTAAAAATAATAATAGGAATAATCGTGTGATTAGACTTATATAGAGCAAAGTGAGAAAACATCAACCACAAAATTGTTACTTTAAAAAAGGATGGTAAAGTTGTTTAGGATGGCTAAATATAGAAAATTGATGAATTTAAGTGGGACGGATGAAGTAAGACTTATAATAATACTTGATGCACGCAAAGTTGTACACGCTTATTCACGAATTTCGAAATTCTCCACAAAGACATACTCCGTATTTTGTTTGTTAAGTTAAGCAGCAAATAAAAAAAAATTGTTGGAAGAGAATCCGATTTCATATACAAACAATGACCATCATAAATAAGAATGTACATGTATAGATAAAAATGATTGTCACAAACAATAAAAACATTTGCTACACAATGATTTCCGTGCATCAGACATCTCTCTATATTTTCTAAAAGAAACAATGACAAATATGTGAGTGAAATGAAGGTAGTGGAAAAAATTGTGACTTAGTGACTATCATGGTAACTTTAATTTAGTGACCATGAGCATGTTCAACTTTGACATTATAGTGACTAAGCTCAGTAATTATAGTAATATTTTTGTCCATTAGTAAGATTCTGGTAAATTATATTAAAAAAAGAATAGCTGCACTAGAATAATTTAGAGATCTTCAGATGAATTACTTCATATAGACATTTCATTTCCCTTTATGTACTGTTGTGTATTTTTTCTTCTTTGTATTGTTTTTATTCTCGCTTTGTACCCCTACATTTTCGAAAGTTGTTTTCGCTATGTTCACCTAGAGCGATTTGCTTGCTTCTTTCTAGGCTTAATAGAATCTCCCCTTAAGAAAAAAAGACGCGTTTTGTCAATGGCACAATTTGACAAATAATGTTTGTATATGAAATTATGAATTGATTCCATTCACAAAATATAAAGCCTAATCCCTAAAAATATCATTAAGGAGGATTTTGATTTACTAATTTGAACTCCTTTGCGATCTATAATTTTCATGCAATAAGGCTATGTTTGGCGGGTGTAAGTTCATATCTTTTAACCTTTCTACTATTTAAAAAGTCTTTAAAAGCTTATAGTTGTATGTTTGGCATGCCAATTTTTAAAATCTTTTATAAAAACAAAAGATCTTTTTTGAGATGCTACATTGAGTGACATCTCAAATAAGTCTGTAACTTCCAGCATTAATTAGTCCTAACAGCTTATATACCAAACAAAGCTAAACCAAACAGTCAGTTTTTATCAAACAGCTACTGCCTTTTTCTTTTAAGATCTTTTCAGTTACTAAAAGTTAACAGTTACTAAAATATTCATAAAAGTATGTTTTCAGCTAGTTGTGTCAACCATATCCTAAAGCTCATTGTGAATCAAAATGCATCAAATCTTTGTAATTGTAATATAATGTACTCTTTTGTCTATACAATTTTCAATCCCACATTATTTCACACCTAAAAGGTAAACATACACTTAACAACGGTTATTGAGATGAATGCAACATGTTTTTATTATTATACGAATACGAATGCAATATTATGTATCGTCTAATTTGGAGATTTCAGATAAATTTAACGGCATGTTTATAATTAGTATATTACGGGTTTGGGCGTTTAGCCATTAAACCGGTTTTTTTTCTATCTAATACGTACACCCACCCTTTGAAGTCCGACACAGCACCAGATTTTCCGTCCGTGGTGATGTGGGTTCCCTTAGACTTGAAACGTACGAAATAAATGAAAATATTGAAAAATAAAGTGAAGATAAGATGGAAATTTGGTGCATTGAAAATAGGACTAAAAAGGGTGACAAAAATACAGTCATCCCGTCCGTACAAAGAAGGCGATCCAAAGCATCGTCGACCAAGGACTTCCAAATCGCCGATGACCCACAGATCACTTTCTGTGCTGTCCACGTGTTCCCCTTCCATTGGTTCACCCTTCAATGAACTTTAAACCCAAACGTGTTCTTTGCGTTTCTCTTTCCTATCACTACTTCAAAGTCCAAACCCATCTCTGCACTGCCCTCTCCGGCGAATATATCCCTTTACCCGACGCCATTTATCCGTAAAGAATCTTTTTTTCACATGTATAGACCTGTGTGAAAGAAGAAAAATTTTCAGACTGAAAGAGAGAGGCTGAAATTCACAATCTTTTGTACCCATTCATTTACCCAAACGTGCCCTTCTCTACCAGGCACGGAAAAGATTGTAAAGTGTAAAGTTGTGGTCTTGAAGGCTACTGGTTTAGGTCTTATCCTTCTTTACCCCCTATATAGTTCATATTTATGCATGGCAATTGTGTTCCTGATGTATATGTACAGTAGATTTTGTGCCCGCAAGTCTGGGTCTCTTTAATTTCGCCTCCCTTATCTATTCGCATCTCGCTTCTGTAAAGATTCTTGCTTTTTCGGTTTTCCCGTTGAAGCTTTAAATTCATTCAGAGCAAGAAAAAGGTGATCTTTGATAGGGGTATATAATTGCTTGACATTGTTTGGACACTCTGGGGTTTCATCTGAGATTCGGATGGTGATTTGTGGTATGGGTCTTCACTTTTTTATTGTGTTATGAATCTAACTGTTGAGCTGAGAAGGTAGTAGGAAAGGGTGGGTTCTGATCAGTAATTCAAATCTGAGAGAGTTGTGGTTTGAATATGAGGCCCTCAGGTATAATCTGATTAGGTTTATGTACTATGAGCTGTGGGAGTGAGAAGAACAGAGGAGGAAGAGCAGGAGGAGGAGGAGAAGATGAAGGAGAATATGAGAAAACCAAAGAGGAAGACGAATATGACCAAACTTTTGGTGGTCGAGATTCTGTTGATGTGTTATCATTGAATGGATCAATTGTAGCCTCACAGCAACATTCTATTGATGAGAGAGTGCTGGTTGATCCCAAACTTATTTATATTGGATCCAAAATTGGTGAAGGAGCTCATGGAAAAGTTTACCAAGGAAGGTGGGTGTATTCTACTATCACTACCATTTCTTCATGCTTTAGTTGTACTGGTAGTCAATGCTTATCTCTGAGAAAAATATCGTATATTATATTTTTATCTGTATATCCATCGATGGAAAATACTATTTCATTGGTTTCTTGAAATGTTATTGATGTTATTAGGGTAAAATTAAATATTCTGCTAGTTTCTGTTAAACTAGCTGACCAAGATGGGAGGAGTTGGTATTACCTAATCTCTAACTATGTTTCCAACATGTATTTGTTCTTAGGTACGGGGATCAGATTGTTGCTATTAAAGTTCTCAAACGTGGGAACACCACCCAAGAAAGGGCTTCACTGGAAAGTAGATTTGTGAGGGAAGTAACAATGATGTCAAAGGTAAAGCACGAGAACCTTGTGAAGGTGAGTTATCTTCTTTTTCTATGTTCTTTCTATCTCGACATGTTGTGATAATTATTTACAATCTTTGACCTTAGTTAACACCACTAACGGAAAATCTCCAACTCAATTTCATTCTGCATCAACAAAACTAACTAATATATTTTGGTCAAATAAGAGCAACTCCTTTAAAGTCTGGAAATTATAGTCTTCATAATAATTGCAACACATGAATTTATATTATTAATGAATAATCCTTAACTTGGATATGTTCAAATCTACGATTAGATTGATTATTTTAGTAATTAGTCTGGTGTTTGATTTAAAATGAATAAATATTCACATATATGTAATTTATATGCCCTCAAGTTTTTTTTGTCTATACTTTTATTTCTTTGTAGTTTATTGGAGCTTGTAAGGATCCTTTGATGGTAATTGTGTCCGAGCTGCTACCAGGAATGTCCCTTCGGAAGTATTTAGTGAGTCTTCGCCCCGCAAAGCTGGACCTTCTACTTGCACTAAATTTTGCTCTTGACATTGCGAGGGCCATGGAGTGTCTACATGCTAATGGAATTATACATAGAGATCTTAAACCTGGTACTAAGCGGCTTGTGAAGCTGTACTAATTCTTTTACAGAATCTTGTAATTGTTGTCTGTTGAAATGATTGAGAAACAATATAATGACCATTTTGTTGTTGTTGAGGACTTCATTTGTGAATAATTTGTGAAAGAAAGAAGATTTTTTTTATTTCTTCCATTTGTTGATGCATGGAGACCTGAAGTCATTTTCCCCTTTGTTAACATATTGTAAACTAGAGCTACTGCTCCTTTTTCCATCCTAAAGATCGATTTAGTAATACTTACTTGGTATTACACTATCATTTTCTGTTGTGATGTTCTGGTTTTTTAAATAGGTTTTTACATTTTTTGTGTTCGGGTGTTTTTTCATTTTCTGTAAAGAGTACTTCTTTTGCAGACAATTTATTGCTCACAGCGGGTCAGGATTCTCTGAAGCTTGCAGATTTTGGGCTTGCAAGGGAAGAAACTTTGACTGAAATGATGACTGCAGAAACTGGGACGTATCGTTGGATGGCACCTGAGGTTTGGAAATTTACTTTGCCCGTCATTTCTCTGAAGTTATTTGGAAGACAGATAACATGAAGCTTTTGTGGCCAGTTTGATGAAAGGGAAAAGAGTCAAATAAGGCCTTCTACTATTACGGAATGTGTCACATAAGGTCATGTACTCAATAAAGTGTAATATAAATAAGTCTACTTATAAAAAGCAATCAGATAAGTCCTAACGACCCGTTGACAACCTCCTAATCCTGATTTTAGCTTACGTATCGTTATTTTTGCCCTGTATTTAAGTCAATCTTAGCTAAATATTCCATGCCAGCCTTATAAAATATTTTGAAAAGATAGGCAAACTTATGCTAAAACCGGGATTACGAGGTTGTCAAAAGGTCATTAGGACTCATTTGATTGCTTTTTATAAGCAGACGTATCTATATGACACTTTGAGCCCGTTTGGAGAACTCTGTTTTCAGCTTATCAGGCTTATCAGCCAGCTTTTTCACCAAACACGTAACTTTTACTTTCGCGCGCTGAATTGTGTAATAAGCTGAAAAAGTAAGGTTGGAGTTACTTTTCTGGCTGTATTGGCTGAAGTTACTGTAGAGGACCATTTTAGCTATTTTTACATATAATTTTTTCTTTAATTTATTAATAAAATACATTTTTAAAATATTTTTTTCTTAAATCAGCAGAATCAGCCAAAACAGCCACTCCAGCCAGAATATCATAAATTTCAGCAGAATCAGCCACAACAGCCGATTTTGGTGCTACCAAACGGGCTCTTTATTGCGTACATGACCTTATGTGACGATTTCATAATAGTAGAAGATCTTATTTGACCCTTTTCTCTTGATGAAAAGAAGTTAAACTTTTCAAGGAACTTGCCAAACAAGAATCACAAACAAGCTAAAATATGATAAATTTAGTAAAACTAACAAAGAAGTTTAAAAACATGTCATTCATTAAATTCATGATTATGGCAGCTGTACACTTCTACCATACATTTATGCAGTTGTACAGCACAGTGACTTTGCGTCAGGGAGAGAAAAAGCATTACAACAACAAAGTTGATGTCTATAGTTTTGGAATTGTCCTGTGGGAGTTGCTGACAAACCGCATGCCATTTGAGGGAATGTCAAATTTGCAGGCTGCATATGCTGCCGCCTTTAAGGTACAAAAAATCAATTTCAGAAGCACCATTCTTAGTTTCTCCTTTCCTATGGCCAAACAAAACTGCATTAGAGCAAACATATGTAGATCTCATATTGGCTAATTGACTATGCATGTGCCTGCACACTGAGGTTTATATTCTAAATGTCGATGGATAAAAAAGTTCTGTCCATATTTTTATAACGTTATTTGTGGAAATGAAATTTTATCATTACGTGATGAACAAAGAGGATAGCCCAGAGAAAGCGTCATTCCAAAAAAGAGAAGAAGTATATCTTACCAATCTATGTAATTCGAATTGTATATTAAGAAGAAAGTTTTATATGAACAGCTTCAAATTTTTGATAAGTTGTAGCTTGTAGCTATGTGTTTAAATTTCCTATAGAAATTGCAAGATTGTTAAGCTCCAGATTGCTGATTTAAGGGTTTTGATTTCTTATAAAATGTGGTGAATACAAGTCCTAATATATTTACCGAACCTCTATTATAATACCAATGTAAATTGGTGTACAATCTCATAAATTAGGGATGGTAACTCAAGCTTAACTGAAAAAGGCTTATGAATTGAAAACTTGAAGTGAATTGTGTAATTTTTTCTGACAACAAATATTAACAATAACAATCCATGTCAAGGTTGAAAACTTATTAAATAAACATGAGCAAGTCAGCAAGAACACAATGCATTCTTTTATTCTTTCTAAAGATCATCATGTTTGCTTCAGGTACAGCAAACATAGATCTTGAATCTTACCTGTATTTATCATTTGTAACTTTTGTGATTCTTTGTTGGCAAATTACATGAAATGATTAGTTTTATTTGATAAGGTATGGTTTTTTCTATTGGGACATAAGTGTCTGAAATCGTTATTTTTTAAATGGAGGCAGGGATTATCTCTTACGTACTTTAAGACGAATACTAATGCTTTTGTAATCTTTATGCTTCTATTGGGACATCCAAGTTATAGAGAGTATTAAATTTGTATCTTTATGCCGAGCACCTTGTGACCTGATGGTCAAAGTGGAGGTCACGTTTCGAATCACATCCAATCAAGGTTGAGCGGGATTGTTGAACAAATACAATAAATAGGTTAGGTTAGAGTAATAAAAAAAAGTATCTATCTTTATGTATGCTTGTTTGTGCTCTCATTGTAGTCCTTTAAACCTAAAGTCTCACATGTAGGTGGTAAATCACCATCTAATGATTTTTAATAGAGCTATTATACAAATAGTAATTGAGTAGGCTCAGTTTTTTTACCACTTGATGCAAAATATAAAGAGAATATCATTGACCTGCTCTTTGATTGTTTTATTTGAAAAAAAATATGGTCTGCTGTCATTTGTTAATAAGCCTAATCTATATGAGTTTGGTGCTTTGACATGGCAATGCAGCAAGAGAGACCTATACTTGCAGAAGAGATTCCGCCAGATTTAGCATTCATCATACAGTCATCTTGGGTTGAAGACCCTAATATGCGGCCAAGCTTCACCCAAATCATCCGGATGCTCAATGAGTATCTGCTCACCCTTTCTCCGCCCCCAACATCTAGCAACGGCGCCGTTGTTGAGTTCTCTACAAGAGCTAAAGGCAAATTCTCCTTCATTCGCCACATTTTTGCTGCAAAGAAGGGTAAAAACTCGCAATGATGATGGTGGACGAAGAACATATAGTTGATAGCTATGTGCTGGAAATATCTTTAACAAACAATAAAATGACATAAAGAAAAAGGGTACCTTCAGTAGTCTTTTTTAGCTGATGACAGTATTGTAAAGAAACACATTTCTATACTCTCTATGTCCATATTCCAAACATGTCTTTCTTTTAACCTTAATGGACTTTCTTGTCCAGCAGTTTCAAAGTAGTTAACCATGTTCCCTCAGGATGCTGCTGGATCTTTTCTCCCCGGTGCACGCCTACAGCCTCCCATGTTACCTTTTTGGGTAGTCTACCGTGTGTTCAGTTAAGGGTCAGCTGATAACTGCAACTGAAAACCGATGACCAAACAGAAAGAAATGATTTACTAATCACTTGTTAAAAATGGTTATCGGTCACATTACGGTTTTCATCTTCAGTTTTCAGTCAGTGACCAGTTGACCACTGAGGCAATGATCAATTACCGAACTTCATATATAGTAATACTATTTCTTTTTTGTAGTCCCAAACACATTTAAGTCCATTAGGCTAAACTCTATAGCAAAATAGCTATCCTAGTTTAAAGCTTCACTCTATCGGAATGTTGTGTTAATCTTGGCTTGAGCTTGATGGGATCTTCAGTCCTCTAATATGACTAAAATTTAACTGCAGACTTTGAAGTACAAATTTTAAAAATACTACGCAACAAGTAAATTCATAGTCATATTTATAAAACTCAAGTTCAATTCACTCAACTATAAAAATGTGTAATTAAGATGTTTTTACTTGGACTGTAATTTGTTGGTCTGGTCTGGTTTGAAATGGTTTGGTCTGGTCTGGTAAACGTCTGGTCTCTGTGTATTTTATAACTACGAAAGCCAGATGTGCTTTGGTCTGGTCTGATTAAGTCTGGTCTGATCTGACCTGTTTTAGGAAGAAGCATTGTGATTATTCGTGGGTTTAGGCTGCAACAAAGAACATGGACAAGTATTTTGGAGCAGCAGGTGAAAGAGCAGTGACTGGTAAAAAAGGAGGTGGAGTTGGGATTGGGTTTAGAATTGGGTCGTTAGTGAAGATAGTTTGGAGAAGATAGAGTATCGGCACTCACAAAGTTCATCATCTGCTGAATCGAAGTGGAACGCTATGCTTATGGGTGGACTGAACCGGGCCGGTTCGGGCCTCGGGCCTGGGCCCGGCCGGGCCTGGGCCCGGCCGGGCCTCGGTTCAGTATATATAGGCCCGAGCCTGAACCGGGGGTGGCCGGTTCCGGGCCAGACCGGGCCGGTTCCGGGCCGGGCCACCCGCCCTATTAATTTTTTTTTTTGGCTTCTTTATTTAATCCCCTACCCCTCTTTCTCAACCCCAAACCACCCCAAACCATCTCAAATGGACCAAAATACCTAATCTAACCCAAAACATAAAAAATTTTCAAAAAAAAAAAAAAAAAATAAAATTAATTCCGGCCCGGACCGGGCCCGAACCGGCCGGGCCGGTTCACCATATGGAAGGCCCGGGCCCGGAACCGGGAATGACCGGGCCGGTTCGACCCGAACCGCCGGTGGACCGGGCCACCGGGCCGGGCCGGTTGCTACAGTGGCCGGGCCGGGCCGGTTCCGGGTCGGGCCGCCCGGCCCGAGTCCAGGCCTAGCTATGCTTAAAAACGGAGCTTTCCAAGCCTTATAATCCACACAATTCCCACCTATTAAAATCCATATAATTCTGCTGGAGTCTGCTGGAGTCTTACGGAATTTGTCAAATTCCATTAAAATCCATAAATTTCACAATCTTTTAATTTCCATCAAAATCTCAATTGTGGACACCCCATAAATATCTGTCCATGATTACTAAAATGGTTGGATCATCTGAGAGTTCATATTTTACAACCATTGTTCCGATTCTTTATGAAGTTGTTTGGCTTTTTCGGCTTATCAGGCTTATCAACCAACTTTTTCACCAAATATGTAAGCTTGATATGTTGTGACATTTGCAACAAAAAAGTCATGTTATCCTTGATGTTGTGAGCTTGTGTAATTTTCAAGATTTGAGAGAAAAATGGATGAGAAGAATGAAGTTAACATTCTTAACATGATGTTGTTGATCATTGTTCTAAATGTGTTCAATATAGATAACAAATTATTATCACTCTGGAGTTATTATATTTTATGAGGTACACCTCCACCACCACCACCGCCATTATTATTATTATTATTATTATTATTATTATTATTATTATTATTATTATTATTATTATTATTATTATTATTATTATTATTATTATTATTATTATTATTATTATTATTATTATTATTATTATTATTATTATTATTATTATTATTATTATTATTATTATTATTATTATTATTATTATTATTATTATTATTATTATTATTATTATTATTATTATTATTATTATTATTATTATTATTATTATTATTATTATTATTATTATTATTATTATTATTATTATTATTATTATTATTATTATTATTATTATTATTATTATTATTATTATTATTATTATTATTATTATTATTATTATTATTATTATTATTATTATTATTATTATTATTATTATTATTATTATTATTATTATTATTATTATTATTATTATTATTATTATTATTATTATTATTATTATTATTATTATTATTATTATTATTATTATTATTATTATTATTATTATTATTATTATTATTATTATTATTATTATTATTATTATTATTATTATTATTATTATTATTATTATTATTATTATTATTATTATTATTATTATTATTATTATTATTATTATTATTATTATTATTATTATTATTATTATTATTATTATTATTATTATTATTATTATTATTATTATTATTATTATTATTATTATTATTATTATTATTATTATTATTATTATTATTATTATTATTATTATTATTATTATTATTATTATTATTATTATTATTATTATTATTATTATTATTATTATTATTATTATTATTATTATTATTATTATTTTATACTTCTTTTTGACACAACGATTATGTGGCATGACGTGTAACGCTGGAAATGACCCTTATTGAATTGTAAATGTACAATTTTGACCGTTTATAGTATGAAAATTATAAATAGTGCTAGGATGATTCAGTCGTAATCCATGTTATGTCTTTCTTTTAGAAAACTGAATATTATTGTTTATGATTGTCTTGATAGGTTGAAGCTAGACCTATAAATCGTAGGTGTACATCTCTTGCAAACTATTTTAGAGGCCATGTTCCAAACTATATAGGAGGCCCTAGGTATAAAGCATAAAAGACATACATTTTTCAGGTTCACATTTTTTAATTTTAGAAGACATGCTAAAAATCTAAATAAAAAAGCACTACACTCCTCCAAAAAAAAGTGCTCTACAGAAATATTCGGGAATTGAAATGGAAGCACTGCCCCCATTATTCACAACTCTTCCAGACTTCCACTGATGAGATCAATCCAATTTGTTAAATAAATCATTAATAAGCTAAAAAGAGTAAAAGGAACGAAACCTCGGTGTTAGACTTGCACTGGAGTCTAAAACGACAAGACTAGTGTATGGCCGCCATGGAGGGCTCGAGCGATGAAGATAGAAGAGATTCAGAGGCTCTAGCCTCTAATTTCATAGAACAGTATGGCTGGACTCGGGCCGGTTCGGGCCCGGTTCGGGCCTGGGCCCGGCCGGGCCTCGGGCCAGAAAACTAGGGCCCGGGCCCGAACCGCCGGTGGGCGGTTCCGGTTCCGGTTCCGGGCCAAACCGGGCCGGGCCGGGCCGGGCCGAACCGGCCCACTTAATTTTTTTTTTTTTTTTGGTCTCCTATTTAATCCCCTACCCCTCCCCCTCAACCCCAAACCATCCCAAACCACCTCAAATGGCCCAAAATACCTAATCCAACCTAAAACTTAAAAAAATTTCAAAAAAAAAAAAAAAAAAATTAAAATCCGGCCCGGACCGGGCCCGAACCGGCCGGGCCGGTTCACCAAAACCTGGGCCCGGGCCCGAACCGCCCAGCAGCCGGGCCGGGCCGAACCGAACCGGTGGACCCACCGGGCCCCGGGCCGGGCCGGGCCTAACAGTAACCGGGCCGGGCCGGTTCCGGGCCGGGCCGCCCGGCCCGAGTCCAGCACTATAGAACAGTCTCATGGAACAGTTCATCAATTCTTATTGAGGAAATTCATTCATAAATCTAAAATCAAACCCACAGACTAGTTGTTTCCTTTTAGAAATTGAGATTTGAGAAAGTTTAGTTTTGTAAACCAGCGTATTGAATTACGATTGAGAAGAAGAGAAAAGTGCCATTTTATCATTTATGAACACTTAAGCCCACGCTTAGTTTTAATTAAGGGGACATAGGAATGGGTAATTCTATTCACAGTCCCTGATTTACTAACTACACACATATTTTCATAATTCCTCTTGTGCCTTTATTAATAAATACAATGACGATGCAGACTTGCAGAGTGTGTCAGTAGGCTTTGAAACTCTAACTCCATATCCGTAGTTGTGTCTTAACTTTATATCAAGTACCTTGTGGTCTGATGACATCACTGTTGATCTTTCAAAGAGGAGGTCGCAGATTCGAGTCTCATCTCAATCAAGGATGTTGACATTAATATGAGCAGATACTATAATAGGTTTAGAAGAATGTTCCAAAAAAAACTTTCCAATATGATGAAGAAAGCTGGTGTATTCATCACATGACGGAACCGACCCGAAGGATTCAGAGTGTAGTAAGGACTGTCATCACTTTCATCCTATGATGCCTCTTTGATTTGGTTGAAAGTATTTTATTCCAAAAAAGTCAATACAAAGTAGCACATTTTCGCAATTATCTCTTGTCTTCGAAACTGCTTTTCTCTTTGATTTGGTTGAAAGTATTTTATTCCAAAAATGTCATGTTGAGAAAAGAGCGATGTTTTCTGGAATCGTATAGTCACCGCCTATCTCATACCTTATCTCTTCAACTTCCTCATTTCTTATCATTTTTTTTTCTAGAATTTTCCAAGAACTCCATCAATTCAGCAAGACGGCAAGCATCCTCTTCTGAGCCACCACCCCTTTTTCCGATATTCGTCGTCATTCTGCGCAGCAAGTTGATATTTCTGGTCTATCTCAACGATAATTACCTATTACTCATTTTTTGAAAGGGCGAGGTTTACGGGAGGATAACTTAGACATTTCAGTTATTTTAGGGGCTGTAAATAGCAATTCAGGGGCTGCAAATAGAATTACC